CGCCCGGCGGCTGCGGAGCCGCTTTCCAGGAACTTTCCAGGAATCCGCCTCACGTGACCGCAGCCCCCGCGACCGCTTTAAAGAGGCTCGGGCGCGACCGCGAATGCGCAGGCCTCGGGGACCGGGCTGGGAGCGCGCGGGGCCGGCGGCCGCAGGGTGCACGCTCGGGGCTCCGCCCTCCGTGACCCCACACCGCGGGGTGCTGGGGTGGCGGGAGAAGTTGCCGGCCACCGCCGACCCGTCTGGCGGCTGGCGCTCGCTCCTAACCGTGTCGCCTGAGTACCCGGGTCCGCAGACTGCAGCCGTCCTCACCCCTCCCCCGGGATGGGGGTGTCCCCCTTCCCACCCCTCCGTGCCTCCTCCGCGCGACCCTCCAGCGACACGCGGGGTGCAGGAGAGGGCCGAGGTCCGCGGGAACCGAGCCCTCCGGCTATCGGCCGTCACGGCACACTGATGGGCGAGGGCAGGCCGCCGCCCGGCTCAGTGCCCGCGCGGGGACCCCAGGAGGTGGCAGCGACCCCCGGCCGGGGTCCCGGGAGGCTGCGCCCGAGCCGAGAAAGGCGCCTCCTTAAGGCGGGCGGGCACCTCAGTCCCCTCCCCCTGGCCTCGGCTCGCCGCCCGGCAGCCCTGCCCCGCTCCTCCTTTGCCCCTGCGCGGCACTCCGCGGTCGGCTGCCCGCCCGCGCCAGCCCGCGCCCGCCCGGCTCACCTGCGCCCCTGCCCCGGAGGCGCCTACCTTAGCGCGGCGCGGGGAGAGCGCTCGAGGCCGTGATTCCCTGCCGCAAGGGCGCTGGAGGACCCGGAATTGGGAAGGATCCCCGCACCTCTTGCCTTCCCGGGACCTTCACCTCTCACCCTATAGGAAGCCACCTGGCCTTAGTGGAAATTCATCTTCCTAGCTGCACACCCGCCCCCGAAATGTGGCCTACTTTAAGTGTGACCTATTTAAAAAAAAAAAAAATTAACACTCACAGGAAAACAGGATCCAAAATTTTGATAACCATTTTTCTTTGAATTACTCGATTGCATCACTGCCCAAGAGCTTGAAAGGTCAATGGCCGTTTTTAGTCGAAGCGGAGGCTCTGGGGAAGTTGGGCGAGGAGGGGGAGAGGGTGTGGGGAGGCGCGGTTCGCAAAGCTTGGCTGGTGCCCCCCCTGCCGGCTCTGCGAGGAAGCCTACGCAGGCTCCCAGCCTGGCTAGAGCTGGCGACCAATGTTTTTCCCAGTAATTTTCCTGCTTCTGATAGGCACGTGAGTCCCAGAAAGGGTGTTTTCCCGCTAACAAAGGGCTTTGTCTCCGATGGAGTCGTGTCCTTCTCATTCGAATGCCTTCCCAGCTCCGTTCCATGACCTCCCAGAGATCAGTGGATGGTGCTATTACACCTAACCTGGGAAGCTTCTAGATATGTTTGACTTTCCAGAGAAGTTCGCAAAGGTCAAGGCCCGTTGTGATGGTGTGATAAGCAGGACAGGCAAAAGAAATACCAGTTGGTAAATCACAAACACCACCCCTGGCCTAGTCATGGAATTCTGAGAAGCAGTGGCATCCAGAGCACCCAGTGAACCAATCTGTAGGTTGGCAATCTTTAACCAAAAGCATGTGGTGGAGATTCAAAAGGCAGGGTCTACAACTAGCAGGAACCTACGCACACCTCGGTGTACATTCTAGAAGGATATCCCGGCTGCTAACACTTGCAGGCCTCTTCCGCTTTCCTAGCGTATAAAATTACAATGTTCGTGCTCCACTACAAAAAGCAATGCAATATCTGTTTGCCTTTGTGAGAGAATTTGAATCTCTTTTCCCAATACATTACAGCATATGCCTGATTTATTCTTACAACAATCTTTTGATGATAGAAGAAATACTTCTTTTATATGTAAGCAAATTTGAGCCGAAGTACATTAAGTCGTTATTTCTGTTCTTCTAGACAGACTGTTCTTTGGAAAACAGTAGAGGGTTTGGTATGAGCAAAGGTGACATTTTAGGTGACATAGAAGCCTGGAGGCTTTGAAATAGGTCAGTCAAATCATTGAGCGCCTTTCCAACTAACAAGATCTGAGTGTTCTCACAGATTATTTGCCGTATTTAATATAGTCCAGGGATAAAGACTTGAAGGGAAAGTGGAATCCTTCCTGCTTTGTTTTAAAATACTTACAGTCAAGAAATTTGTACATTTCAGTAAGTGCCCAAAATTCTAAAATAAACACTAAGGCCTTGCTTCTTTTTTTTTTTTTTTTCCTGGTACCAGGAATCGAACTCACGACCTTGTAGTTGCCAGGCAGGTACTGTGCCGCTGAGCTAAATCTCTAGCCCCCAAAGCTTTGCTTCTTATAAAATACACACACACACACACACACACACACACACGCACACACACACACACACAAATCTACTTAGAAATAACTTTGGGAGCATCACAGCAGTAAGTTCAGTAAATTCTGCCTTTTTTTCAATTGGTTTTTCCAATTATTGTTGGGAAGATTTTTATTACAAGTTCTCCTAAACCAGTAACTTCTTTGTTTTCCTTTCATTGTAAAAATCCATACTTAAAAGCAACAAATTTGTCTGACACCACCACTGGGCAATTCTTTGTCAACATAATATTCTTAACCCAAGGTCTGCAATGATTTCAGTTCTGCCACAGCCATCCAAAATTTCCCCTGCCATAGGCTCATTGTCTTGTGCTATGCATAGGTAAATTGTATTGTGGTCCACTGATAGCTACTGAATGGACAGAAAGGGCAGCGGCATAATATGAAATGAATAAATAAGTAGACAATCTCTGTTTTAGTCTGGTTCAATAATGTACCCTATAAGGCACATATGTTCAGACATGGGGCATTTGTGAAAGTGAGTGGATCTTGGGGGGTACTAACCTCGTCAATGGATTGATTTATTGCTGGTAGCTGAAGGGACTATTAGGAGGTAGGTTCAGCCAAAGGAAGTAGGTGAGTGCGGGGTGTGCTGTTGAAGGGTATATCTTTCCTCGTACCTTTCCCCTGTTCAGTTTCCCGGCTGCCATGAGGTGAGCTGATCTCCTCTGCAGTGCCCTTCTACCATGATGCTGCTTCTGCCTTGGAACTGGCTGACCATGGACTGAAACATCTGAAACGATCAGCCAAAATAAACCCTTCCTCCTCTGAGTTGTGTATATCAGGCATTTGGTCACAATGATGAAAAGCTGACCAATACACTCACTGTAGCAAGTGGGAAATCAGACGATAGTTACACGCCAACATCTCCCACAAACACCACCACAAAATAGTAAAATACAAACTACTCAAGAAGAAATGAGCAATCTTACAGCGCTATTTCTATTAAAGAAAAAATGCTCCAGGTGTGGGAGACGTTATTGGTAAATTTGACTGAATCTTTAATAAAGAAATAATACCTACCCTACATAATCTTTTCCAACATAAAGTAGGATCACTTAATAACTCCTATTAGGAGACCAGCATTATCTGAAGACCGAAGAGAAACGAGACAAAACTACAGACCAATATCACTCATGAACATAGCTATGAAATATAAGCCAGCTGAGTGCAGAAATATATGAAAAGGATCATATATAAGGATTTCCTTGAATGTAGTCCAGGAAAGGAAGATTGATTCAGCATTCAAAATCCATCAGTAAACCCCATTATTTCAACAGACTAAAACAGCAAAATAATATAATCATGTCAGTACATGCAAAAAAAAAAAAAGCATTTACAAAATCAACATCCATCTATCATGAAAAAAGGCAGGGGTTGGGGTGATTAGTGTGCATGCTTACTTGTGCAAGACCTGGGGTTCAACCTCTGGTGCTGAAAAAAAAAAGACAAGAAAAATGAGAAGGAGGAGGAAACAGAAGGGGAGGAGAAGGCAAAAAGCAAACTAAAAATAAAAGAAAAAGTCCTCAATTTGATAAATCCTATCTATAAAAAGAACCTAATGGTAGCATCATTTTAATGGCAAAAAATTAGATACTTCCCCCATATTTTTTTTTTGAGACAGGGTCTTGCTATGTCATTCAAGCTAACCTTGAACTCACTATGTAGCCCAGGCTGGCCTTGAATTTGTGGTGATCCTCCTGTCTCAGCCTCCTGAATGTTGGGATTACAGGTGTGTACTACCATATCCAGTTCCCTCTATAAATTTGTAACCAAGCAAGAATGTCCATGTTTGCTACTTCTTCTCATCAGTGTATTAGAGGTCCTAGACATTGCAATAAGACAAGAAAAAATTGATTACATAAAGGAAGAAGTAAAATTTTCTTGAATTGCAAATAACATAATCTTTTACACACAAATTTCTCAGGAATAAAAAATACAAATAGCCCCTAGAGTAAATACATGATTTTTGCCAGGTTTCAAGATACTAGGTTAATATAAAAACAATTTTATATGTACTAACAATAAATAATTGGAAATTGAAATGTTAAAAATGCCATTTATAATGACAACATGAAGTACTTGTATATAGAATATGTAAAGAACTTTTATAGCTGAATAATAAGAATATTTAAAAATCTAGTTTTAAAAAGTGATCACAATGTTTGATTGATACTTTCATCAAAGAGTGTATGAAATGTAAGTGAGGCCATTAAAATATGCTAACTTGAACTTAGGAAAATGTAAACTGAAACATGACATGATACCATTGTATACCCACCAGAATATCTAAAATTAGAGTAATATTAGCAAATTATTTGCAAGCTTGTGGAACAACTAAAACTCTTTTACATTACAAGTGCAAATGCAAAATGATGAAGTTGCTTGAAAATAGTTTGACAGTTTCTTATAAAGTTAAATATACACTTAATCTTATGAACCCAGTGATAGTATTGCTGGGTATTTATGCCACAGAAATGAATTCATATGGCCACAGAAAGACCTGTATATGAGTATTCATAAATTTTCATAATAGCTAAATGCTGAAAACAGTCCACATGGACTTCAACAGGACAAGCAAATTGCACTATATCTGGACCACCAAATAGCAGTAATAAAAAAAGAACAAACCACTGACACATGCAACAATATTGTACCAGTCGCAGAAGCAATGTGAGAAGTATTATAAACCAGACATATAAAAAGATGCTTGCTATATGATTCTATTATATGACATTCTGGAAAACAGATGAGATATCCCCAGGAGATGAAGGTTATAAAGGACACCAGGGCATATGGAGAGTTGATAAAAACATTCCATATCTTGATTAAGGCAACAGTTTCATGACAATCGACAATCAACCAAACTCATTGGTCTATGCACTGAACAGGGCTAAATTTCATTTTAAGCAAACCATTCCCTAATAAACCTGACTGTGGGGAGTGGCTAAAGCTGGAGGTTGATCACACGTGTGAGGCAAACCACAAAAACAAGCTGTTCCTGCTCAGAGATCCAGATCCGAAGATCTGAGATCCGGAAGTGCTCAGGCAAGCCATACAAAGTTGTTAGGCAGAGGGGTTGAAATTGACATCAAACTCCTGAGAGTATCAATAAAGGGGCTATGGTGGTTGAGCAGTTCCTTTTCCTTCCATTAGGAGAGAGGACGCCAACTGACCTCAGCTTTCTGTCTCTTATCTTTATTTCTCCATCCTCTCCCTGTCCTTCCCTCTGGGAACTTTGAGAGCTATGCAGGACGCAGAACCTGACTACTGAAAAAGCAAAACTAGAAAAGAACTGCCTTTGAGAGAGACAAAGAATGGGCCAGAATCTTATATTATGCAGGCTAAGAAGATGGTGTACGTGAAGGGCTTCATAAATGAGTAACCGTCCTTGTCTCAAACCATATTTTAACGTCTATGTAGTGTTCATCCTGGGAAGACAAGCAAAGGAAGTAATCCACTAGCAGACCTAAACCCACCTTTCAACCTCAGTTCAGGTTATTCAAGAAAGAAGAGTGCAGGTTTGATTAAATTACAGCTGGGAAGGGATGCTGACATACCTTTTATACATACCTTTTATAAAAACAGGTTCAGATCTAGCACTGCTCAGTTCTCTAAAGAGGCTAAAGTTATGTTACAGACACCTGTTAGCTTGCAGTAGGTCTATAGGTGGATAGAAACACAGGTTGAGCAAGATACTGTATAAACTGGACAGTTTTGCCCCAGGAGAAGACATGACCGGACTTACATGTTGAAAAATCACTCCAGCTGTCAGGGTGTGGAAAATGAAGTTGATCCGGACAAAATTAACTGGAGGTTCGCGGTCACTGAGAAAACCCCTGTCAGGTGACCGAGCCCAGTGGAGAGCGATCAGGGGTTACAGAGGCAGCCAACGCGAAGGGCCAGGCCACTGAGTGAATGTGCGGGAGGGCTGAGGGACAAGGTGGCAGTGGGGATTGTGCAGAGGTTCCTGAC